TACAAAATATGCTGACTCTGTAAACTGCTTAAAGAGGGCTGTAAAGCACGGTATATAAGACTATTGCTATTTCTAAAGACAACCAGATGAACTAATATTACTTTATTCTAAGGCTACATTAACAGAATTTTTCAAGTCTGAAAGTAAAAATCTCTCACTGTCATTTTGAAAGCGTGCTCAATTAGGGTGGGCATTTCCTAAATTTCTTTTTCTACCTATTAAGCCACTGGGGGCTCTTCTTTCTTGTCTAATCATTTTCTGGGCAGCATTTTCAAGGTGATTCCCACAAACTATTCCATGACCTGACTGTTTAGATCTAACAGGGAGAAACAGCTGTAAATTTCATATTTTCAGGAGATTTCATGGGCTGAGGCAAGAAGACATTGAAGAGATCAGAGTGGCCCCCTCCTTTTGGCCTTTTAGAAATTTTTAAAATATAATTGCTTAGAAGAGCTTTCCCCTAATGTGAATGTTGCCATCTTTATTTCTATTTAGGTTATTTATAATTTAGATTGTATGGTTTTTATTTTTATTCTGTTTGTACTGGCTTTATTCCTGCCATGGATATTTCAATCTGTATCTCTTCAGAGAAAGCTACCAAGTCTTTTTGGATTGCAGCAACATAAAAGTATATTCCATAAATAAATAATAAATAAATAAATAAAACTGAAGCCAATCACCCAGGTTCCCTTCCTATCATTTTAGGAGATTTCAATCAAGCAAATTTAAGGAAAGAGCTCCCAAAATATTTCCAGCGTGTACATTGTCTCACCAGAGGCAAAAATACTTTAGACCACTGCTACACAACAGTAAAAGAAGTTTATAGGTCTTTACCACGAGCAGCTGTGGGACACTCTGACCACTGCATGATTCACCTTGTACCTGCCTACAGACAAAGACTTAAAACCATGAAACCAACAATTAAATCAGTGAAGACTTGGTCAGATGAGGCAAAGCTGAAACTCCAGGCCTGCCTTGATTGCACCGATTGGAATGTTTTTGAAGATGCCTCTACACATCTAGATGAGTTCACAGATACTGTAACATCATATGTCAGCTTCTGTGAAGATTTATGTGTACCAACAAGGAACCTGCAAATATATAGTAACAATAAACCTTGGTTCACAGATAAACTTAAGCAGCTACGTCGTTCCAAAGAGGAAGCCTACAGAAAAGGTGACAGAATGCTATGCAACCAGGCCAGAAACATATTAACAAGAGAAATCAGAGCAGCAAAAAGAAGCTACTCTGAAAAGTTAAGGAATCAGTTCTCAACAAATGAACCAGCAAACATGTGGAAAACTCTTAAAAACATCACTGGCTTCAGCAAATCTCCTTCCCAGGCAGAAGGAAATCAACAACTAGCAGATGACCTGAATGTTTGAAAAAAAACTACAGCCACCTATCTCAAACACACCAACCCACATCTCAAACACACCAACAACAGCCAAGCCTCCTACAACTGGCCCCAATCCATTGGGTTCACAACCTCTGGTGATCACAGAAAAAGAAGTGCAAGATCTATTTCATGGACAAAAGCCAGGAAAAGCACCAGGGCCAGACAAAATAACTCCTTCTTGCTTAAAAGTCTGTGCTGACCAATTGGCCCCTATCTTCACCCGAATCTTCAATAGATCACTAGAGATGCACTATGTTTCTTCCTGTTTCAAATGCTCTACCATCATCCCAGTGCCAAAGAAGCCCTCCATCAAGGAACTGAATGACTACAGACCAATTGCTCTAACATCTGTAGTTTTGAAAATCTTTGAAAGGCTTGTGCTGTCCCACCTGAAAACCATCATGGATCCGCTGTTAGATCCCATGCAGTTTGTATACCGAGCAAATAGACCGACAGATGATGCAGTTAGCATGGCTCTGCATTACATCCTACAATACTTTGAATCTCCAAATACCTACCCAAGGGTCCTCTTTGTACACTTCAGTTCAGCATTCAATACCATCATTCCAGACACTCTTCTAAGTAAATTAAACCAACTAGCGGTACCTGAACACACTTGTAAGTGGATCATAAGCTTCCTAACAGACAGGAAGCAGCAGGTGAAGCTAGGCGGAATCACATCCAATACCTGTACAATCAGCACAAGGGTCCCCCAAGGCTATGTGCTTCCTCCACTTCTCTTCTCCCTATATACCAATAACTACATCTCAAATGATCCATCTGTTAAAATACTGAAGTTTGCTGATGACACAACAGTGATTGGTCTCATTCAAGACAACTATGAATCTGCATACAGACAGGAGGTTATGCAACTTGCCTCGTGGTGTAACCGGAACAATCTGGAACTGAACACACTCAAAACTGTAGAAATGGTGGTAGACTTTAGAAGAAACCCTCCCATACTACCACCTCTTACAATACTAGACAACACAGTATCAACAGTAGAGACCTTCAAATTTCTAGGTTCTACTATATCATATTAACATCAAAAATGTTATCAAAAAACACAACAAAGAATGTTCTTTCTGTGCCAACTCAGAAAGCTCAAACTGCCCAAGGAGTTGCTGATACAGTTCTACAGAGGAATTGTTGAGTCTATCATCTGCACTTCTATAACCATCTGGTTTGGTTCTGCAACCCAACAAGACAGACACAGACTTCAGAGGATAATTAGGACTGTAGAAAAAACAATTACTGCCCACCTGCCTTCAATCGAGGAACCGGATACTGCACGAGTCAAACAGAGGGCTGTGAAAATATTTACAGACCCCTCACATCCTGGACATAAACTGTTTCAACTCCTTCCCTCAAAACGATGCTATAGAGCACTGCACGCCAGAACAACTAGACAGAAGAACAGTTTTTCCCCAAAAGCCATCACTCTGCTAAACAAATAATTCCCTCAACACTATTCAACTATTACAAAGTCTGCACTACTATTACTGTTAATCTTCTCATTACTCCTTATCACCCATCCCCTTCCACTTGTGATTGTAGGACTGTAACTTTGTTGCTTGTATCCTTATGATTTATATTGACTGTTTCCTAGTATGATTTGATTGCTGATTGTACCGATTGTATCATTAAGTGTTGTACGTTATGTTTCTTGATTCTTAATGAATGTATCTTTTCTTTTATGTATACTGAGAGTATTTACACCAAGACAAATTCCTTGTGTGTCCAATCACACTTGACCAATAAAGTATTCTAGTCTAGTCTAGTCTAGTCTAGTCTAGTCTAGTCTAGTCTAGTCTAGTCTAGTCTAGTCTAGTCTAGTCTAGTCTAGTCTAGTCTCGTCTATTTAGTATTCAACTCAGGGTAGAAATCTAATACTTTAGCACCCCCAAGAGATGTCCATTCAGCCTCTGTTTAAATATTTTCAAAAAGGTGAGTCCACTGTTCCTGAGGCAACTTGTTCCATTTGAACATTTATTGTTAGAACATACTTCTTTATGTAGAATTGAAATCCTCTTCTTTGTAATTTAAGCCCATGGCTTCATAATAAACCTTTATCATTTTGGTTGTTCTTATTTGGCCACACTATAATTAGCCCATATCCTTCCTAAAATGTTGTGCACAAACTGTTGTAGACACAATATTCCAAGGATAGCCTAGATACTTTTTGCTGTACTGCTACTCCTGCTACTCATTTTGTTGGACAGGGTCTCCTGCTCAAATAGGCTCCTTCCAACTGTTTTATTTTGTATTCTGTATGTCCAGATTCGCTTTAATAAAAGGGAAAAATGTAAGCGGGGGGCTATAACTGTTAGTTGGATTCATGGTTGGCTGAATGGTCTTTAAAGAGATCCATTCAGCTTGGAGAAAAGTATCAGGGATATTGCTACAGGGCTTCTCCCAGGCTTCACATTGTTCAATATTTTATCCATAATTTGGATGAGAAGGTTGAGAAATTATTTATCAAATTGCAAATGATGCTAAACTGACTGAAGATCTAATGTTATTATGTTAAAGGAGATCTAGATAACCTTGAGCAATGAGCTGAAACGAATAGGATAGAATTTAACAAGGAGAAATGTAATGGTAGGAAAAATGAAAGTACAGGGAGGGAGAAACCTGATTGGGAAATAGTATGTGTGAAATTTAAACATGAACCAGCACTGTGTTGTAGTCATTAAAAAAAATCAAATTTACTTTGCCTTCATCAACAGGCACATAGAATTCAATCACAATACTTAATTCACTCCACTCTGCTGTTCATGACCCATTTGGAACACGCAGCTCTTGAGTATCCCAGTTTAAAAAGGGCAATAGGAAATTGGATAAAGATATTGAAGGAAATCAAAGAGCTGCTGAGTTGGTGCTCCTCAGTCATCCTGGAGTTATCAGAAAATTATATGTAAACAAACAAACAGAGGCATGACATTTACTGTCTGAACTATACCATACCTCTCTAGCTTTTGTTTCAGATCACTAAAGTAATCTGCTTTCCTTCCAAATTAATAGGTGGATAACATATTATATTTTAGCATTCCCCTTGGATGGTTTCATAGTTATAGGCAAAGGGAAATCCTGGTTTAACAATGGTACAACCAAAGACAATGAAGCTTTATTATACTTGGACTGCGAGTGAGATGAAGAGAAAATTAGGGACACAAAGGTATGTATTGGTTTCATCCAGGATGTTGACCTTACCGTGCCAAGTCACGGATCTCCCATAGAATATTTGGGCTCAAAACTTCTCTCCTAACAAGTGCTCCTTTATATTTCTCTTGTGGGGAGAGGTGGGGCACGGAGTCCAGCGCAACCAGCGAGTACTACAGAATTCAAAAACTATTTTTGCACTACGCGCCGAACGCAGAAAGCAGAAGAGAGGAAGATATGTTAAGGTAGCCACGCGTAAAACTCAATTAAGTTTACGCTTGTTTACGTTCAAACTCCACCCCGCCTTGCCTGTCCGGGAGCAGCACCTCCCATCGAAGGGCAGAACTGTGAACAAGTTCGGGAAAGTAAAAGGACTCGGTGGAAGTTAGCGATATTGACTCTGGCTGGTAAGGGAGGACGAGGTGGTTCAAATCTTATGCTCCGTTTGGGCGATGCAGGGCGGTGGGGAGCCGAAGGGGGCGGGAGGTTTGTCGCAAGGAAGCTTCTGAAAGCGGGCTTGTGACCTCTGCGCTAAGTGAGCGGAGGCGATTACCGGAATGAGGAAGGGCTGTTCTTCAAAAGTGAAAATAAATCGTTCAGCTTCAGGGTCAATCTTTCTCGAAGCTGTCGGCCTTGGATTTCCACTTGACATTTTAAGGCTCTCCCACTAGGTCAGACGCAGCCTGAGAAAGTGCCAGACTGTCACTTTAGGCTAAAAAGAGAACTTTTAAAATGAGCAACTCGGCTGACTTCTGGGATGTCCTCGAGAGTAAGAGGCAATCTGAAGAAGAAACGCTTTCATAAAGGCAATGGGGCGAACGGCTGTTAAAAGGCCCCGGTATTTCAGTGGCCATAAAAAGCAGGTGAACTCTTTGTAATTAACAAATGGCTTTTCTTATCGGGATTAATGACTTCTGCAAAGGACCAGATTGGAAAAGAGAGGTGGCTTCAGATAAATTTGGAGCCTAGTCGATTCAAGCTGATAACACACGCTGTTTATTTTTAACTTTTTTAATTATATATTTTTGATATCTGTGCATACCAGATCTTATTGCAGGTTGTTAGTACCAATTTTTAGTACAAAATACAAAGTAAAGAGATACTATCATTCTTGCATTTGTTTAATATCTCAATGCCATCTGTGATGTTACCTAAGCAAGCGTCTAGATTGTTTTCCACATGTTTACATTTATAAGTCATTGAAATATTATCTGTTGAATTAATGTCATCCCTTCTGTGCAGCATATGTTACGTTTAGGATTTTCACTAAAATAAAACCAGGAGTGAATGAAATATAAACGTTTTATACAAATTATGAGTCTTAAAAATTTAGCTCTTTCTATTTTTAAGCCAGTGAAATTTTTATAGGATCTTGAGCTCTATAATTTATGTTTGCGCAGAATAAAATAGTTTGTAGGTGTAGTTTGATACTGTAGGAAAGAAGACACCTTAGTTCTTGAACCTAGTGATTCTAGAAAGATTGAAAATGAGTATTTCTGTTTAGAGGGTAAAAATATAGGCTAAAAAATGTTAGCCATATAACTGCTTGGAAAGTGGGAACAAATATTTAAATGCATAAAAATGATCTGGATCCTTTTCTGCATCATATAAAGCTATTTTAAAAAAGGGAAATTGAAAAGTATTTAGTACTTTAAAATATAATCTATAGTTACTGAAAATGCTTCTCTCCCTATCCATTTAATTGCTTCTCTTTATATCTGTCTATATCTGTCAGTCCTCCATGAAGAAATTGGATTTTTGACTTAATTTAATCTGACATAGAAATAGATCCACTGGCACTTATTTAGAATATTAGGACCATTCCGCTAGTGACTCTTATCTATTCTGCTTGCTAAACTGGTTTGCCATGAAGATAAAGGTGCATAAGGAATGTAAAATATTTCATGACAGAATTACCATATAATTATTGGTGGTAAGGAAAATATTGCTTCTACAGTACTAAATACTAACAATATCAGAATTTCTACCCTTCTTAGCTAAAAACTACAGTTCCATTGATCATAAGTCTTGCATTCTACATAGTATTATTGTTGTACATGCTGAAAAATCACTATCATTTTAACTTGCAAAGTAAGTGATTATAGTATGCATTATTTCTAAGCTATCTGGCTTCTTTTAACATACAGTGGGCTTTTATTTCATTCATTTTATACAATGACATTCTTGTCTGGTTCGCATGTTATATTTGCAGTACCAGAGATATGAAAAATAGTCCTTTTGTTTGGAGCACTAACTTGAACTGCTTTTCTTTTGGAGATGATCGAAAAGTACTGGAAGTGTCTGAAGATATGGCATCTCTTGAGCAAACAATAGAAAGCTTAGTGGAGCAGATCACAAAAAATTTCCAATTCATTTATTCAACAGTACCAAGAAAAATGTTGATTTCCCTGGTTGAATTAGGTTGCTAATATTTAAAAAGGAGAAATACACAGAATGCACAACTTTTAGGCTTTTTTTTAAACACCTTAATTGCAGTACTTCTGTCTCCATTTGAGGAGAGGAAGAAGGGAAGAAAACTGAAGAATGGAGTAGTTGAGAACATTACAAGAAGCTACACAGCTTTCTCTTCCATACAATTATATTCCATGCAAATATATTGATGTAATTTTTCCTGGGTTTTGTTGTTATTTGTAATTCAATCTCTAGCTAGATTTGGCCAATATATGGTACATTTATATTGTTCAACTTCATTTGTTTGTTTCTTCACCAAATTTAGTCTCATTCTTTTCTGTTGTGAGAGACATGCTCTGCCGATGGACAGATATATCGTAGTATCTATCTAGGCCATCTTCATGATTTATTTCCAACATTCCATTGAGTTGGAAAGTACAGCAAAATAAAGGAAAGAGCATGAATTTTTTTCCAATCCCTTTACTTGCAGTAGCTATAGGAGGAAGCTATATTTTCTTCTGTATGAGAAACTGTATAAAATAATATTACTGTTGTGTCTTATGTCTATTACTTTGTGTGCACTGGGAAACAAACATAGGACAGACATTCTGAGGCATTGTTCACTGCTGCTTCCATAGAAATATATTAGGGGATTTTTTTTCTAGAATATTTTACCCTGCTGATCCAGCCAGGTCTGATCCATTTTCAAATTTAACTTTTCTTTAGTTGGTCTCTCACCCAATACCTGTTTTATTTTTGATGGCACTCAGACAAATTTTCAATAATTTCCTTTATATTAGGTGATTATGAGTGACTCATTCTTTATCAGGCCAACCTATTTTAATGTTGTAGGGAGCTACTTAATGCTATGTATTGAGCTACTTAATGAATGAATTAAAATTAAATAACAGGAAATAGATTATTTAAAAAATGGCAAGGCTGCAAGTTAGCATGGTATGACTCAAAAAAATGTTAAAAATTGATGTGACAATGTGATTTGTTTAACCCATGTCTGAATTCTGCATCTGGCCTTGATGATTGGAATAATTCTATTTCTATTCCCTTCTAAAGAGAAGGCAAAGTGTGAATACAAGAACTAAATGGTGGGTTGGTTTGTTAATTGCTCCGGCATGGAAATTTTTGATGAAAGGATATAATAGATGGTGTTGAGCAAAATTTGGAAAGTGCAGAGCAGAGGTGTACTGACCAAATTTTTATTCTTCCATAGTCATTATTTTATTATTTAAGAATTTTTATACCACATTTATTATTTTTATATATGAATGAAGGCAGTGAACATATCTAATATTCCTTCCTCCTATTTGCTCCACAACAACTCTGGGTTGACCAGAGAATGACAAGTCCAAAGCCACCCAGCTGCCCTTCATGTTTTAAGATAGGACTAAAATTCATCATCTCCTGATTTCTAGTTTGGTGCCTTAACCACTAGACCAAACTGGCTCATTGATATATACTGTATATAAGCCCATATTTGTCTTAAAATATGCTACAGCACTATTGATTTGCAAAGATATTTCCCATAATTTGGCAGAATCTTGACAACGTACAGTTAGTTCCCAAAACAAATACTAAATAGTACCAGAATGTTTTTCAACATACTTAACACACAGCTGCAAAATGACTTATTTTTATACATTTGTCTAATCAAGACATTAATTTCACTTAGCATATCTTTGGTAAGCAGGTGCATTTGTAGCCAGTTTTATGCATTGGTGTAAACTGTCTTGATTCTGAAACAATTTTTGATGTGGCTTTCTCCTGTATCCCCTGCATAGGTTTTTTGTATGGTTAGGAATTTATATTGATCCCTTGTAATCCCAGGAAGATTCCTTTGTCATGTTTCTGCACCTTGGATCATTTCAGAGTTTCTTATCATCTCTACAGGTGGTCTTTGTCAGGGACCATGGTAATTCAGTCAGAAAAGTGGTGACTAAGTAAAAAATCAAATGTGCTTATAATTTTATTTCAGCTTTCCTTTGCTTTACAGCATTAGAAGGGTACACCAAATAGCCATGTGAATCCAAATGGCAGGGAAGATTTCCAGAACTTTACTCATGAGGAATCCAGGTAAAGGGACTAATCTTGCAGCCCTTTTTCCTCACTCCTTTGGAATACTCCTACCCGTGCTGAGATAATTAAACAACAAAAGAATTGATGTTTGTATTTACATTCATTGAAGAAGAAAGGATTACAATAAATGGGTACACAACAAGAGAATGTACATTGAAAGGAATGTGCTAATGCCCAGTATTTGTCTAGTGTGCTTCCTGGAAGCCTCTTAGGAGGCAAGCCTTTGGTGTGATACTGATTAGGGTCTTGTCAATGTCAGGCAGTAGCATGAGCCAGCCCTAGGGTTCTAATCAACTACTTAAGGTTACAGAGCTGAGCTTGTTAAATTGCCGTTAGAACCTTTTAAGAATATGCTGCACTGCCAAGGAAGCTTGATTAGATAATCCTTACCCTCTGCAAGGGAGGAGGGGAAAAACAGGTCAAACATGTACTAAACTATATTGGTGAACCTGTGTGTTTTTGAGGGGTGGGCAGGCTGCAAAGTTTGTATATGTGCACCTTATCAGGACATTACTTGTACATCTCTCCATCTAAGGCTAAATTTTGTTTTTAACTTTCAGACTGCTGGCTTTGAGAAAAAATTCTGTACAACATGCCCATAACCAGTGTATCCGTCGTGTGTTAATGCTGGTAGCCTCTGAGTCAGTCCCTTTCAAGTGTAACCACTTTGTACAGGTCCCATCGGATGCTTCTGGCTTTTGTCTCCTGTGATTCATGGATTAGATTTCTCTTGGACAGAGTACTCATCAGATGTATCCACACTTGGATTTTTCAATTTCTACCAGTTGGGTAGAAATTCTGTTATGGTAGGGATGGACAAATGATTTCCGTCTAAGCTATCCAGCAGTCTTGTTAAACTCAGTAGTAGAAATATTTTTCCCATTTCCCCCATATTAGGCTTTAAACTGTAGTGCAGGGGTGTCAAACTCAAGGCCCGGGAGCCGGATCTGGTCCACGAGGTGCTTAGATCTGGCCTGTGGGACCACCCTGCAAACAACGAAGCACCAGCCTGAGGTGCCTCTGCCAGCGAAAACAGAGCTCAGGATAGCCGTGAGCTTCATTTTCGCTGGCAGAGGGTTGCAGGATGCTCTCCCAACTGAAAATGGAGGTCAGGAGCCCATTTTCGCTGGCAGAGCAGTCAGGTCACCACAGGCACCCTCCCGACATGAGTAATGTCATGATGGCCATGGCCAACCTTCAAGGTCAAACACAACCCTGATATGGCCCTCAATGAAATTGAGTTTGACACCCCTGTCGTGTAACTAACATATACAGGAATTACCAAAACTGTAAGATAGTTCAGTCCTCTAGCAGCATATTTGTTCTTTATAAACCACCTAAGATTTTCAGTAATTAACATCAGTTTAAAGCAGTGTTTCTCAAACTTGGAAATTTTAACTGTAGACTCATCTCCCAGAATTTCCCAGTGGTGAAAAATAGCTTGATGTAGCCCATCCTTATGGGAAGAGGAGCTGAGATTTTCTCAACAAGTTATCCTCCTCCTATAATATTCTAATTGCTGTATCCCACATTTTTTATTCTAGATATCTGTTTCAAATATTACAAAGTAGAGAAGAATTACAGCAGGCTATTTGGAAGATAAAAATTGTGAGTAAAGAAGAGGTTAAGCCCTCCCAGTTCCTTTTTATTTAAAATTCACATTAACTTTAGTCTAACACACACTCACATAAATCATCACAGGGGTTGTACTGCATTGATATGTAAAGTGTTGTTTGCAACTGAATAATATTATAAAACAAAATTTAGATTTTGTCTCTCCTGCTGCTGTAGACGGCTTACAATTAATATGCTGCATTCAATAATTTCTTTTCTCTGCAGGTGTTAGATTACTGTTGGAATTCATGGTTCAGCCCTAGCTAATTTATGCTCGCCATGAACAAGAAATTATAAATAATTATAACAGGAAAAGAAGAATTTGAAGTTAGGGCACCGAACACTAAAAGGTTTTATATGAAATAAGTTGCAAACAGTTATTTATAAATGTTGGGTCTTTCTCCAGAGATTTTGAAAAATCTTAGAAATTATCTTCAAATTTTTATATATTGTGTAATTATTTGCTTTTTCTGAGTATTGATCTCTTATGCCTAGCAACTGAAAATTAAGATTCACTTATCTAAATGTGTCCATCCTTGCTATTAATTATATGCTTGCCTCCTAGGTAGGTTCTGTGACAAACTAGGAGATTATTATAAACTCCTTTTATCTAAGAATGTAGTGCCATGTTTCACAAGGATATTTCTCATAAATCTCACCAGTGGTGGTATTCTACTGGTTCAGCCCGGTTCTGACACACCGGTAGGGCCGAAGAGCAGCGGAGACTGAACCGGTTCTCTAAGACGGGTCGCCAACCTTTTGGACCTCAGGGACCACCAATCTCATAATTTTTGATCCCAGGGACCGCTAACCAGTTCTGTGGGCTGGCCTAATTTGTGGGTGTGGCTTGGTGGTCATGTGACTGGCTGGATATGGCTTGTATGTATATATTATAAATATTTATATAAATATTGAATTTTTTATTAAAAAAAGAACAACTTTTACCCAAAATCAGACAAAGCAGGCAGGCAAATTGAGTTGCTCACAGAATCACAGATTCATTCAGAGATCCATCTATCTGCCATCGGCTAGCTCAGTCTGTTACATAGAATTTGCTTGCAAGCCAACTCATAAAATTGGCTTGCAAGCAAACTCACAAAATTTACTCACAACACACCATGTATGTAAATATTGAATTTTTTATTTAAAAAAGAGCAACTTTTACCCAAAATCAGGCAAAGCAGGCAGGCAGATTGAGTTGCTCACAGAATCATTCAGTGATCTATCTACTTGCCATCGACTACCTGAGTCTGTCACATAAAACTTGCCGTGAGTCTGCACTGAATAATAGAATCTTCAGTCCTAAGGGAGATTCAGCTGTGCTTAAAAGCAGAGCCGAAGATCTAAAGACTAGCTAGAAAGCAAGAAAACCAACCATTTCCTGCTTCCTAGCTAATCTAAATCTCCTGGCACAGCAGAACAGCTGATGGTCGGAAAAAGGAAAATTTAGCAGGCAAGTTTGTCAGGTAAGGAGTGAATGGGTGGGGAGCGTTCCTGTGGGCCATGTGGGCGGTGCAGCCTTGTGTTTCTGAGCAACCTGGATTAATTGCTTTGGGGGGTGCTCTGGGGGTGACATTTCTCTGCGGCCCACCAAAATTTTCTCACGGCCCACCAGTGGGCCATGGCCCGCCAGTTGGCAACCACTGCTCTAAGACGTTCTGCTGTGGGGCCCACCCGCCCGGGCTCCCATACTTTTGAAGCGCAGCTGCTTTGCGCAGCACAGCAGATTGCTGCATATCAGTTGTTGAAGCGACAGGGAGTGTGCAGGATTGCAGGAGGTGAGTCGGAAAGCCTCTGCACCTGTGCAAAGTGCATGTTTGGCATGCGTGTGCATGCAAAGTAAGTGTGCACACGCAAAGCACACCACCAAGCCACGCCCACCAAACCAGTGGTAAACTTTTTTGAAATGTACCACTGAATCTCACCCACATGGTTGCACGATTATCCCTCTCTGGGCTTGGGATAGAAATATCTAAAGTATGTTCCCTTCTGTTTTTCCCAGGACAATCCTGGAGGGAAAAATTGTTACTAAATGGGTTAAGAAATCCCCACCTAGAAATACAAGCTGTCAGTAGATTCAGTCTGACTTATTGTATGTACATTTTACAGGAAAACCTTTAAAGGAGAGGATCTGCCAACAAGGTTTTAAAGTATCCATCTATATATTACATATTCTTACAGAGTAATACTATGCCTATGTCAAAATTAGTTAATATGATAAAGTGGTAAATATCACTTTGGCTATTTCTTATTATTTTCTAAGAGTACCTAGGAGCTTAATTTGCTTGATTAAACCTCTGAGGTAATGTAATAATGTATATCAAATTAGTATTGCATCTGGTGTGTTTTTAAAATTAAAGTGAAATGTTTAATTACATTCTGATTGGTATTTAGTTTGTTAACTGTTGACATAAACACTAAAACAGTTAAATAAGTCAAAGACTGCCTATTATTATTTTCATTTCCTATTATTATTTTCAGAAGAATAGTGAAAAGTGCATGTAAAAATAATGAGAGAAGTAATAGGATTACTTAATCCTATTTAAGAATAGGATTATTAAAAGAATACCCAAAGCAGACCCCAGAGTGTTCATTGTGGTAGAAATAGCTGACTTGCATTATTTCCCTAGCCAGATAAGATGCCATGCTAAAGTAGGAAAGCTTGCTATCTCTACTATTCCACTCTTGCAGCATAAGTTTTTGGTGAAGATGGGAGAATATAAAGGCAAGATGCAACCTGGGCTTATGTCAGGTCTGTCCCAGCTTGGGTATTCAGGAAAGAAAGACATTACTCCATTTGTAGCAAAAGGTATACTTTTACTAAAGCCAAGTAGTTACAGTGTAAGCAAAGCCAGGTCTAAATATTCCTGCATAAAGCCAGTGATTTTCTCTTTTCCCAGGCCCTCCCCCATTTGCTCATTTCATTAATGTTTTCACTAGTATTCAAACGAGTGTAATGGTAATAGTTCTAAAGTTGGAGCCTCTTTGATAACCATTTGCATTCCATTCTATGTTCTTGGATTTTTCAACCATTGTCTCTTCTCTCAGGTTGGTAGCAATAGCAATAGCATTTAGACTTATACTCAGCTTTACAGTTTTTACAGCCCTCTCTAAGCAGTTTAAGGAGTCAACATATTGCCCCCGACAATCAGGGTCCTCATTTTACTAACCTCAGAAGGATGGAAGGCTGAATTTACCTTGAGCCTGGTGAGGTTCAAACTGTCAAATTGCAGGCAGCTGGCAGTCAGCAGAAGTAGTCTTCAGTACTGTATTCTAATCACTGCAGCTCCTGGTACCTCTGGTTCCCGTCATCTCCCTTCCTGACATTCCCCTACTCCCACTCCCCCTTTTATGGCAGGATGCCATCATAGCAAAGCAGGGCTAAAGTGATGAGATGGCAGATCTGACCGTTACTTTGATCAACTATCCAAAAAGCTTCTGAAGGTTTAGCTTATCCTTGCAAAACCTTCTGCATTGGCTTTGAATTAAACTATTTTTTAAAATGTGCTATTCCTCCCCCCAAGTTAAGACTAAAGTAATTTTACAATTAAAGATAGAGATGAAAATCTCAGTTTGGAGTATTTGTTTTAAATATATATTTGGAGTGTTACGTTTGAACTAACATTGTCAGATAATCATACAATGCTAAACTGAAAGCAATCTTAGGCTGTTCTACAAATAATTCCTTTCTCAATTAACCTCTCAGACCTTTAATATTAATGATAGAAAAATAGAGTGTAGGTTGACTTTTATGAGTTATGCCCATTGATGACCTATTGCCATTTGCTGATTAAAACTGCTGTTTTTTATTAAAAATATAAAAAGGCCATTGGTTTGTCTGCAATTGAAAAATAATTATCAGACCATTGAACATATAAATCAAATTTTAGCAGTATTTACTCATATGTGCCCATTTGCCCAATTCCCACTATATAAATTATAAAAAACACAATTTGCATTTTAACACAGAAAACTTTTAAAAACTTTTAAGGTTCACTCTGAAAAGATTTTGATTTAACCATCCATATCTTTTTGATCTATTAATGTTAATATCCAGCTAAGTCAACATATTTTAAAAAGATGAATGTTTAAATTTTGTAACAAATTTTGGGGGAAAGATCTTGGCCATCAACACACATTCTGTGAATGTTTAAAATATTACAGCTGAATTTTAATTTCCATATTTGTTGAGGTAATTCTCCGTTAGGAGAATGAGCGCATACAGGGAGACGTATTTGAGAGTAGTGTTTGAATAATACACATACAGCACACAGATACACTGTAATGTAGGTTTTTACTTCCAGAAAGTTTAAGCAAAGTCCAAAAAGCAATCCAAAGTCATTCACAGGTAAATCAGTCAGATTTTTCAATCCAGGGATAATTCAATAACAAAGTCCAGTGTCAAAAACAGTTCAATAACAGACTTATATTAAATCCAGAAAATATCAGTCAATTAGGAAAAATGGCAATACTCTCCAACAGAAGGAAACAGAGACTTACTCACACTCTCTTCTGAGACCAAGGCTAAGACAAACCAGGTTTCTGGCTCCATCTTATGGCCGTTTGAGAAACCACACCTAATTACAGTTTTGTATTTTCTTAAAAGATACAGTTTTAAAATGTTTATCCTGGTTTATATATTTCTAACCCAAATACCTGTTAGGTGACTTATATTCCTAACAATATTTATCAAACTATTTGTAAGAGGTTTAACTGAAGGGACATAACCTTTGCAGATTTATATACAATATATTGTTTTTCTCTAAACTATAGTGTTTACTATTGTGGTGTTTTAGGTATATAATTTATGCATATTCCCAGTAGATAAAATATCTTGACCAGGGAGACTGGGAAGAAGACAAAAATAACTTCATTCTAGATTCCAGAATCTTTGCTGCGCTATTCTTAGTGATGTTCTCTAAAGCAACCTTACTTTTTTCCCTCTAATCTTTCAGAAGATCTCACCAATGGTTGTGCTTATTTCTGCTGGTTCTTCAGTTATAGACTCCATCACCTACATGCAGGCCATGCAAAATTTGTGCAAAAATTAGATCTGTGCAAAAGCAGATCCAGCAATATCCAATAACCTCCTCCACAGCTTAACACCTCTATTCTTTTATATGTTTTCAGCTATAAGGCAGATATGCCTACATTCAAGTGTTTTGATTAGGCTTGAAGTTTCTTGGTATTGATATGATTCTAAACCTGGTTTTGCTACACAGAAAAATTATCTTGTTACAGGAATATTTTTCTTCCTCCTTGCTTATCCTGTCTCTGCTTTCAAGAATTCCCGTTTTCTGGATATTCTTCCATGCAGTTGTCATATTGTGGAACATGAAGGTTGAACATGAATGACTTCAATTTTGCTGTTTGTGTGTTATGGGGAAGTATCCCTTAATACATAGACTATGATTAGAAATGATGTGAGCTTAACCAGTTTTACATATTTTTCTGGGGTAGATGAGCAGATTTAACAAGAATAAAATAAAAGAGAATTAGCTGATATGATTATATTGCTCAGACTAAGTAAGACTTTCCTTGAGTAACAGTTCTGTGAAACTTAACTTATTTTGCAGATAGAATGGGAAAAAAGAATACAAAAATATTGTATATTTCTTAATTTAGGTTCCTGACCACAACTTCTACTTGTTTATTACTGCCTAGTGCCCACCTAAAGTGGGAAAGTATCTAAAGTGGGGGGAAACACATTTGAAGGTGTCCTGGTATTAACTTTGTTATTAACTTTACATAACTGTAGAAAAGTTAAAAAAAAAAAAACTTCTGTCAATGTATTGTTCAACAGTAAACCAGTTATAAAATATAAAAAGTTTCATGAAGAGCAAAAATATGTGGCACAAAATGGCAATTACTATTGTGTTACATGTTAAGGAATATAACTCAAAAAACCTTAAACTTTCCTTGTTTGTGCAGGAATAATATGATGTTGGAGTCTTCAAAGAAAAAGCTATCTAACTTCTAGAGGGTTTTATATGTTAGGAAGTGCTTTAAACTTAAATAAAAAGTTAGCACTACAGTGTAAATGTCTTCTTATGTGAATGGGCCTAAAACTAAGGATGGACTTCCATCCCTGAATGATCAAAATAAATAAAACTAGATATTCTCTGACTATTGATTAAAATTTGACCAAAACATTGATGTATAATCTCTAAAACAGTTAATTCCTGGGTTTACCAATCTACAATTTAACTCCCTAATTGTACGTAAGAATAGTTTAACTGGGAGAGGATATAACCAAGAACTATACTGGGATTTTGGAGTTGCAATCTAAAAATAGTAAGCTGAGAAAAGATAAAACTGATTTCATGTCATTTGCACTTCAAATAACATGAAGACTAGATATGCAGAAGAGTCCATATTTTAAATACCTTCAAACAAATAAATATGCTTAATCATCATTCCAAATTTGAGTGAACCCTTATGTATAATTTTTGAGGAAGAAAGTTGTGGTATTGAATATAACTATTGGTCTTTCTTCCTAGTTCTCTATTCATTACAGTACATTCATTCACTGAAGAAGCCACATTGTAAGTAATTATTCCTGTGACCGTACACAAGTTGGGTTGCTAAGTAATAATAAGGTAAAGGTTCCCCTCGCACATGCATGCTAGTCATTTCCGGCTCTAGGGGGAGGTGCTCATCTCTGTTACAATGCCGAAGAGTCAGCACTGTCTGAAGACATCTCTGTGGTCATGTGGCCAGCATGACTAAATGCTGAAGGCATATGGAACACTGTTACCTTCCCACCAAAGTGGTGCCTATTTTTCTATTTGCATTTTTACATGCTTTTGAACTGCTAGGTTGGCAGAAGTGCTAAGTAATAAACATGTTCTATTCCATTCATTCTTCTGGGAGAAGAATCAACAGTTCCTCTATCAAGTGCAGTTCACATGATTAAAATGTGTACCTGCTTGTAAAATTCAATCCATGGAAAATAATTGTCCCCAAATACCTAATATTTACATATCCCTGTATTAAGATAAGAAACCCTGAACAGGTTTTGAGGTACTCTTACATGAGATTACAACTCTTGTACAATTTCCCTCTGAGCAGTTATTCAAATTCAGGGGATAAGTGATAATAGGGAATAATCTCTGATAATGTTCATTGTTGCAAAAGGGTCCAGTTCAAAATGCTAGTTTTGATTTGCATGGCATGGGGCCAGGTTATTTGAGGGACCACCACTTCCCACCTACATCTGCCCATCCCTTCAGATCAGGCAGAAAAGGTATGTGGTGGGTGTTACCTGTTAAGGAGCTGCACCTACCCTCCTCTTTTCACTCCACCCCAATTTCCTGGCAACAACCCCCGTTTAAGCAAGAATAAAGTCTTCTTTCTAGTTAAAATAATCAGAATCACTGAGGAACAGTGCAAAAGGAGGACATAAAAGAAGAAACAAGGACAAATCAGTAGGCTTGCAGTTCATTTCAGGGGCTATAAAGATCACTTAATCCAGTATGAAGAATATGATGCTTAAATCAGACACTACTTAAAACTAGTTGTGACTATTTTTCTCCCTTTCTGCAGTATTTTGACTTTCTTTGGCATCAGATACTGGGCTATGTATTGTATATTACTTGTTTTAATGTTTAATTACATAATTCATAATCTTTACTGTTATTTTATGAACCTCAAGGTACAAACATTCACTTATGCATTTTCACTAAATACAGCTGAGTAAAGTAACCATTTTTACTTAGGGTTTCAGCTTTCCTTACTATATTCCATAAATTTTAGTAATTATTTATAGACTAATACTGGATAAAACAGAGGTTAAAAGAGTGTGAAATAAGGATGGTTTACTAGCTTTCTTCACATACTCGTAAATATTGTATAGATTCTTCCTAACCTTTCTTTACATAGAAATGTAATGCCTCCCACAACTGTTCTGGCTGACAGTATTAGCCAAAATTAAATACTTAAGCATGCAAGATCATGCAAAATGAATAGCAGCAATATAGCTCAGCTTGTGGTATTGCAGTGTAGGATTTCTGGAGCCATGTGGGTGCTTAATTTGACATACTTACTGAGCAGAAATGAGTATTTTTAGCCATAGGCTTTCTTCTTCCTTCTTCGTTGTACACACATTATCAGTGCTGTGTAACTATCAAAGAAAAGGTTATATTTCTAAAGTATTTATTTCTGTGATTCTTTCTTTGATCTAATGTTCTACTTCAGTGTCTCTTTTAAAATACAATAGATTTTCTGTAGGTTGGTTTATATTTAAAGATCCCAAAAATAATAGAATTTTTATGATGGAAGTTGGGAGAATAATTACTTATAAAGAGATGTCAATATCAGAATAAGCAGCTTGTCACTAAGCTATGTAGTAGTAAACTGCTTTTTGAATACAAAGACAAATAAAAAACACCCAATAATTAGTTCAGCTGAGGATTCTAGGGACATATCCTTTTTTTCTTTTCTGTTTGAGAAGAACCAGAGTGCCATACTAACAGTTACAGAGAATATTATTGAACATCAGAAATAATTTGGCGTTCTGTTCTTGAAATGAGAAAAAATGATACACTTTTCTTTAGCATTCTTTAGCACAGTTAAGGAAACGTTCTCCAAAGGAAAATAAATAATCCACCCTTGTCTTTAAACAAAGAAATACTGTTTTAACCTGTGGAAAGCTAGTTACAGAAAAAGTAACTAGACTTCCCTGAGAGCTGAAAGGTGTCTCTCCCCACCCTGGCTTTTTTCTTTGTTATTCTATTATTCTGTCTTATAGATTGACAGAATTTTAGGTGGAAGTCTTTTGTGTATATCGACTGACATAACCTGAGTGGATTATATCAGTTTATTTCCAACGTTCCTACTATTTTCAATGTTCAGAATATGCTATTTCTATAGTCAAAGCTTCACCATCTACTAAGAGAAGAATTAACAGCAGGCTCGATTTAAAAAGAAAACCCAAAAGTTTATGGAAATGCATAATACTTTTCAGATTAAAACGCCTAAAGGAATGGGACAAAAAATGGTCAAGGAGAATTAAATTTGATAGACATGGCATGCTGAAAAACAAAACAAAATGCAGATCAAAAACTGGGGAAATGGAACAGTTCCTGGAATCCTGACCTGATTTTGTGTAAGATACCAATTATCTGTGCAACTGTGCAGAATCATATAATTGACCAAGTACCATTTTAGACCATCAAATCCAACTGTGTACAAATTTTAAAAAATCTAGGGAAGTGCCTGCCCAACCTCCATGTATTTAGTAAAAGAAGCCTTTGCCTGTCTGGGTGATTTGTACCATTATTGAATCTGTTGTTAACTTTTTCCCCTAACATTTAATTGAAATCTGCCTTCCTATAACTTAACTTCATAATTCTCGGTCCTGCACTATAGAAAAATAAGGAAGAGATCTTGGTTTTCTTCTGAGTGACATCTTTCTAGAATGGCGATTACATCTAACACATCTGTATTTTCTTCTTAACCCTAAACGTGCCCAGTTGTTTCACCTGTCTATCTTTGTTGTCCTTCTCTGAACCTGTTATAATTCTTCTGAATAATTTTCATATCAAGGATCTGATATCTGGATCTTATCTGTCAGAGAATTACACCTGGCAGATCCCAGGATGGGGGAGGGAGGGTCTCTTCAGCCATGGTACCTTATAGAATCTTCTTTCCCTGGAAGTGAGGTTATCATTTATTATTTTCGCAAATAATTGAGAAAACTGGATGAATTGTTACAATTGCTATTTTCTCTTTTCAGATGAACGGTGTGCTATTGAAGGTTACTTGGCTCCATGAAACATCTGACACCCCTCGTCCTTCTTGCCTGTGGCTCCTTTAATCCCATAACAAATATGCACATGCGTTTATTTGAACTAGCAAGAGATCACCTTCATCAAACAGGTTAGTTTATTTAATGTCTCCAAAAACTGAGTGAGCTGTGTTGCAATAAGGAGTCATTTGTATCTCCAAAAAAGGGGGAAACATTCCACATTATTTCAACACATTTTAATTGCTGTTAATTAAAAGTTCAAGACTTCGACCAATTACTTCACAGCATCTAAATTGAAAGTTTACACATTTACTCTCTCTTGAAGTAAAAGTGATGATAAGGAAATATAAAATTGTTCCTCATCAGTATAATTAAGTTTTGCCAATGGTTCAATAGAATAATTGCAGACTAACTTGTGATGAAAGGAGTCTTAAATCCTATCCCAGATTCTGTCTTTTTCTCTTTTCGAGGTGCCATGAAACACTTAAACTGCAATGTCACATCTGTATGCTAATTTTATCACTTAAGCTAAAGAAGTGATATAGTCTGCAATTTTAACTAGGAAGAGAAATCATGGGGGGAAAGCTTCTATGTATTCATTATGACTTTCAACTATAGAATAGAATAGAAATTACACAAGAGGAAAAAACATGTTTTTGCTGCTTCTGTGTTTGGCTGTAATGATCCAAGTAGCTAATGATCCAGGTAGTTGACTGGGTCATGTTCACTCAAGCACTAGCAATGATGTAATATATGGATGAGCAGGTTCATTCAGTCTCAATATCACTAATAAATGAACTGTAAGACATGAATGTTTGGAAAGCATCAGGAAATAGTTCACAAGCAATAGCAGTCAACTATGAGCAATCTAGAAATGTTGTTTTAATGATATACTGCTATATAAAGTCACTCGCAGGCTTAGATTTCAAGGTTAACCAGGACCTTATAGTTTCAGTTTTGGGTGACAATGCAAATAGAGAACATATTGGTCTCTCTGTTAGTTGTGGAAATGGAAGATAATTATTAAAATGGTAGATAAGATTTAAAAGGGAGGCTCCCCCCCCCCCCCACACACACACAATGAATTACTTTTTAAAATTATTTTTTCATTCTTTTGTTGACTCTTATTGATGACACCTGGTAATTGAAGATTGTTCTAAAAATAGAACATGCAGCTATATATAATGAGATCCTTTCAGTGTTTAATGAAGAGCTTTCTATTTTCACTTTTGCCAATACTGGTCTCTTGTTATGGTGTTACAAGAAAAGATTGGTATCTAAATCATGTTTAAATATCTTGCTTTTTAAAATATTAAACATATATCTTTGCTGAAAATGGCTTTGTCTTGAAAAGAATAACTGAGTAAAGATCTCAGAAACTGCTAAGATCAAATGATAACGCTGGATGTCTTCCTGCCTAGATGACTTAAAATATTTTTTAGTCAAAGTATAGTACCCTTTTTCTGTCTACGCAGAGCATTTTTTTTTTTATTGAGGCAAAATAAGAGCTAGATGGAGCTATACAAAGTTCTTACAGATGTTTCATTCTATCTAATTCCCATGGGTAAACACAACAGGGTGCAAATGACATTGTCTTGAGGTTTATTAGATCTTTCATCCTGCAAAATAAGGGCTTGTATGGTCAAGTTCATGTATATTCTCTCTTAGAGTTTCCTTTGAATTTTATTTACTTTTAAGGCTAGAAAGAAAAAAATGATTCATATTACCATTTAACACAGTATTTCCTTCATCATCTCTAATTTCTGTTAAGGAACAAAAACTCAGTCATGTTAATAAAGTTCTGTTTTATTCATACCAATGGACAAATTTTATGAAATAATTTCTTAAGTATAATGGATAGGTCTGTATATTAGTGAATAATACATCCTACTGCATTTTATTATTAATAATGTGCAACCTTATTTATTTTCCATGCCTTATCATGCTTGTTTAAGTGTTTCTTTTTAGTGTGATTCAATTTATTGTTCTATGAATGACTCTTAGTACTGACTGATGCTGCTAAATATCTTTTGGCAATCTCTTATAGCTAACTCTCCACTCATGTGTTTCTCTGTACATTATTATCTTGCACCACTTGCTATGATTTAAAGATGTCAAAAATGATCTATGTATTTTACCTTTAATGAAATCTTTCTCTGTAGACTGAAATAATGGGAAGAATGTAGAATGCATTTGGAGAGAAAATACAGAAGTAAAGAGTTGTTCACCTCTTTACCAACTGAGATGGATGCTAAATGGATGGGTGTAGGTCTTCTAAGACATGCTGAAGCTGAAAGTGTTGGATCTGGCAATATTCTATTTTTTAAAAAAATTCTTTCCTTCAATATACTCAGTCTTATGGAAGGAATAAATGATTACACAATATGCCACAACATCAGGGGTGGGATCCGACAGGGTTAACTACCGATACGGTGATTTACGAGGTTCGGTGATGTACAATGTGCTTCCCTGCACGCTGCGCACGCCTGTAAATTGTCATCAACCTAGTGCCTGGACAGCTGAGCAGCGCTGTGTGCCAAGAAGCAGCCTTTGAAAAAGTACTTTTTTCCTGCTTTTTTAACTGCAGCTGTGCCTCTGAAGTTGCAAACACAGGAAATAAAGGTCAGGTAAGAGTCTGAGCAGGTGGGCAAAAACATCAGCAGACATAGAACTGGTTCTATGTCTGCTGCTCTTCAGAGCTACCGGTTCTACAGAGGTAGACAGAACGGGTAGAAATCCACCCCTGCACAGCATGTAATACTTCAAAATAAAATCTTATCAAGAGTAGTTAAATTCTTGACTATTTGCTGTTAATTTTTCTTTAATATTATATAGTTACAAATTAAATTAAGTTTTAGAGGCATCATTTGCAATGTAACATTTTTCAGATTCTTGTTCACATTGAAGTTTTTTTGTTAAATTTCAAAGTTATGCATCTATGTAATTCATTACTACATCACTACCTTAATATCTAATTCAGTTAATTAAGAGTCATCTTAGAATGTTTAATATAGAGATACAAGAATGAATTTAGCTAGTGCTTGTCACATCCTGAAATGCTGTATATTTATATGAGCTCTTGTAAATATATTAACATATTGGCAGTGATTAGCAAATAAGGCCTACCAAACTCAGGCAGACACATAATCACTCACATACAGACCTTATTTAGAATACTAAAATCATTTGATGATAATAGAAAATATTGTTACCCATAGAACTCCAAGAAACACTTAGATTCTTACCTTTTTGTTCCTTGTGTAGTATTTTTTACATGTGTGTATTGTAATCAAAAGAATGGCATATATCAGTAGATAGACCTAAAAGGCTTTTCTAGCAACAAGATGTAGTTCTAATAGCAACCATATGCAAGATGTAGTTCTAATAGCAACCATATCTGTTTAATTCCTCAAACAGATGCTGAACATCTTTTTAGATTTTAGGTAACAGGAATGAAATAGTCCATGTGATACTATTTTCTTCCTAATTTTGCAAGGATTCCATTGTTGAGAATACTGTTACATTCTATTTAAACGAACAGCTATGTGAAGAAAATGCTTGATCACAGGTGCCAGGTTGGTGTTAGAATTTATTAATGTCATAGCAATTGCTGACAGGAGTTTATTTTTTATATCCCATTACAGAATGAATGAAACTTGAAAAAATTAAATACTGCATGGTAAGATATTGTCATGTAATCTAAAGAAAAGATTAGAGCTTTATTTTAATAATTCTCTTTAGTCTTGCGACAGTATCATCATCAAACTTCTGAAATGCAGAGGCTCCTGTAAACATAAATTTAAAACCCTTTATGTTGTGGTTATACTTGGATTAGCTTTCTTTAAAAAAACTGCTTAATAATGGAAGGTTGCTCTCCAAAAATTGCATCTAAAGCTGCAATAGTATGCTGCTTTGTTTTATTATGTACTCCTTCCTCAAAAAAACCCCCATCATTAGACCCCAACTTTTCGAATATTTTCACCCTATCTCCAACCTTCCCATTTTAAGGGAAATTATGTGTGTTAATAACAGCCAGCTATACTTCTCTTTCTTTAGCTGACTAAGTAATGTTGTGGAGGTCCTGTCTCAGTGTCTGAAAACTGAGGTCTTCATAGGGAATAATTGAGCTCAGATCAACCCAAAAAAACTGAGCAGCTTTAAGTTTTAGGTCTTCTGGATCCAATCATTTTCCATCTTTAGTTCTGGATCACATAACTTCAGATAGAACTGGCATGCAAACTGGGGAATCATGAATTTTCAGCAGCTGTTGAAGGTCTTTTGAAAACTTTATAAAGTATACCAATGTATAGTACACCAATTTCACCCCTTCCTGTATTGAGAGGCATTGCATAAGGACACTCATGCTTATGAGTAGATTATTGTTATATGCTATACATAGGACTACCGTTGAAGAACATCCAGAATTTGCAACTAGTATAAAATGCAATAATGTGAGAAATTATGGGCATTCCTCAATATATCCATATTACACTTTTGTTACATTAGCAGTATTGGTTCATAATAGCTTTTGAGGTGCAATTCAAATGCTGGTTGTCACCAGTAAAACCATTCCAAAATGGCTATGATATTTGAGGGACTGCATCATTCCAATTGTTTCTAACAATATCATTAGATGCGTTTTGCTGGTCCTGTTGCTTGAAGAGTGTCATCTAGTGGGACTCAGGAAGCGTGTCTTCTGTGTTGTAGCACATGCTCTTTGAAACACTATTTGACTAGGAAAAATGTCATGGGGATTTGGAGGAGGTTGAACTGATGAGCTGTGTAATTTTGTTCTGATGGGTTTACCCTTAAATGTCATTGTTTCCTTTATTTCTGTTTCATGTGTTATCATTTTTTTGTTATAGGTTTTGTTATTGCTTGGCTACCTCAAATTGCTTCACAAGATGAGTAGCAAATATACATTTATGCTGCAGACTGGAACTCACTTTCTTAAGTATTATCTTTGAACTCAATGAGACTCTAGAAATGAAATTTGCATTGCCCATTCCTTCACGTTGTAAATCCTTCTTGGTCTTTTATGCAAAAGATCTGGTATTATTTGTAATAATTGCTTAATTATCTCCTTATTACTATTGCAACTTTTGTCCCATTACTATATTTGGTTTTCCCCCTGAACCAGGATAGTTTATTTAACAATGTTTTTACTTTTCTTTTTGCTATGTACCTGTATAGCTACCAATGTAGCCATAAATTAAACAGGTCAGGAAGCCCATGCTATCAATACTCAAAGAATATCAGCCCTTTGAGAAAACTGCTGGATAGCCTTTTTTTCTTTTCTTGTATAGTTAATTTAGGATCTCTGTGTCCAAATGGAAGATAGCAAAATAGAAAACCAGGCGAGTGAGTTGGTACCATGCATTCCTGAATAGAATTTAATTAAGATGAGAAAAATGTGTTCAGTACTGGTAGTTCTCAGCTAACAATGATAATTGGACCAATAACTTGGTTGTTAAGCAAAACAGTCGTAAGTTCAAAAACCATGAAAATGTACTGCTTAATGACATGGTGATCTGAATTGCCATTATTAAGTGAACATCAAATGGGTCATTAAACAAGGATGTCATGTGACTTCCAATCTCCTGCCAGCTTACCCATTGACTTTCTACAAGATCCAGTCATAACCATTACTTTTTCAGTGACCCAATGGTCATAACCATTACTTTTTCAGGGACCCAATGGTCACTGAATGAGTGAGTCATTAAATGAGCATTACTTTATTTTAAAATAAAGTACAACTTCAGTGACTTGATGGGAAGACAGCATATAAATATGTAAGTAAATAAGTTCAGGAATAGGTTTGCCTCCTTAAAGACTCAAGTTGCATAGTATTTTCTCTAAAAATATTTTTCTTAATGGGTAGTGGTAGATTTCTCATCCATTCATAGTACCAAGTTGGATAGACTAATGTTAAGTAATAGGAGCATGCAAAGCAATCCAAACATGTTTTGCCATGTGTGTTAAATGTGACAAGAGGAACAAAGGAGCAAAAGCAAAGTGAGACGGACAAGTTCAGCTTTCCAAGTTGATATGTGAACATTTCAAAAGCTGCAGATACTTTAATGATTCAAAGAGGGATGGTTCATTTCTATAAATGTCAAAAAATAACTCTATAAATAAATATCACATTGTTTCTACATTGGTAGGAGGATCTGCTGTTTAAAGTCATGGAAGAAAAGTGGGCTTAAATCTAATATTTATTTTATTCCTTAGATAAAACTAAGGCATAACATAAATATTAGATTTAAGCCCACTTTTCTTCCATGACTTTAGAGATAAATCTAACTTGAAATGTAACTTCAGCTTAATTTGGGGAAACAGGAATATTATTTCAAAGAGTTTCATTTTCCTATATATTTTGCTGTTTATCCAATTTTATAGTTTATAACAAAAAAGGTGTCATTAAACACCACTGACTTTTATTCATCTGAATTATGAACTTTATCATTTGCCTTGAAGTAGACATTAATTAATTATATTCCAAAACATTCCTGGAGATTCTTGACTTTACCTTTTAATTAACATTGCCACTAATAGAGAGAGATGGCAGCACATAATATTAATTAAATTAGTCCCCTGTAGCTATTCACATATGGTCTAAAAATCTGTGATAATCACTTTTTTTCACTGGCTAACACTATTACGAAGATTTGCAGAAAACATTTTAAAGCACATGGCGCTGTTACTTTAGAAGTACAAGATTTTAACTTGCATTATACCAAGAAGCAAATAGTTATCAGATAAAGCATACATTAGATATGCTATCTTGAAGTTGTCCGTATAATTCTAGTACATATTTGAATTAATCATTAACCCAATCTTCAGTTATTCTAATCCTATATATTATAGATGAAAAATGTTTGCATTTGCAGACTTCTTTTTAGTAAAGTCTTCTTTTTAGTAAAGGGACAGGTTATGGCAAGATCCTTCTAAGGACACCTTCCTGTCCTAACAGATTAGATAGGGTAAGTGTGTTCCTAGTCCCTTCCTTAAATATTGCCTATTTGAGTATCAGAGGATCATGCCTTTTCCATGGCAGTCCATACCCAATGGAACACCCTTCTTCCTGAGGGTTGGCAGTCCCCTACTATTCTAGCCTTCCATAAATCACTTAAGACCTGCCTTTTCTCCCAAACGCTTGTTGGATAAGAGTGTTTTTGTGGTGAACTGCGGTTAAAGTTTATTAAGGTGCCAGATTTTTATTATTTGTCACACACACACACACACACACACACACACACACACACACACACGCCTGTCTGTCTGTCTAGCGGAAATAAATATTTATTTTCAATAGTTTAATTGCAGAAAAGAAGAAACAATCATTTTTATTGTTCACATATTAAAGAATTTATCTGTTACAAGAAACAGTATAAACATTGGATCATTTATATTTTTTTCTCTATCCAGGAAAGTACCATGTAACAGAAGGTATAATTTCACCAGTTAGTGACAACTATTGGAAGCAAGGATTGGTAGCAGCAAAGCATCGGGTCGCAATGGTTCGTCTTGCAGTTGAAACATCCGAATGGATCAGGGTGGATCCTTGGGAGAGTGAGCAAACTCAATGGACTGAGACTCTCATAGTACTAAGGTAATATTGATAGTGTCTGCTAGTGATAGTGGGATTTAATCAAATATTTTAGTAAAAAGATATAATCCTCAAGCAAAGAAGGTAGCAAACTTTATTTTGTTTTATAGAATAAAACAGTTGTAAGTAGAGTCCTTTAATATATAGAAGAGAAGGATAAGGTAGACTAATAACTTTTATTTAACAATCCCTCTTCTTCCAATCAGACATTTACTTTTCATTTTTTTTTTAATTCTTATTACTTTCAGGGCTGACTATAAGGACATTTCCCTTGATACAAAAAAAAAAAAAAAAGCTTAGGTACAGTACTGAGTTGCTACCATATCCAGGTCCCAAAACAGAAGATTGCACTGGAATTCCTTTGATTACTGAAAATGCAGGATTCTGTATATTCTCAGAATTTTTCATTCTAAATTTCTATAAGAAACTGTGTATGTCAATTATATATAACTTATACTCTGATAACAAGTATTTTTCTAGTTACTTGGCTTGCAAGCCTTGTTATTTTTTTCCTAGAACCATAACATATGATTGCTTGGGGGAAAATGACTTGATTTTCACGCAGGAAATCTACTGCCGTCTATCATACTGCAGTCAGCACAAGGGAAGTCGTTTAATACAAGGCCTTTGAAAAGTTTTGACCTACTACACTTAGAGTAGTATTAGTAATTTCATAATATTCCTGTCCAAAAAAAAAAACAACTCAACTGAACAATAAAAATAGCTGATTAACAAAATTAAAATCAATGTCAAAAAAATAAAAGAAATGGTACAAAATACACTAAGAGAATATAGTAAATAATGTGCATAGAATTCATTTTTTAGGTGCAGTGCAATTCCATGTAATAACAAAATGGTTTTGAAATAAGATTAAATTGTACATCAATTTACATTTTATATATGAAGTTATTCAAGATATAAAAGCATATTTTCCCAGATTAATTAGCCATTATTCCAGAAATGATGTTTTACATTCTTCAAATCTCAAATTGCATAGTATTTTTTTAAACAGGTGATACTAGATTTCTCATCCATTCATGATATCAAGTTAGACAGACTAAGCAATAGGGCTATGCAAAGTATTCAAAACATGTTTTGCCATATGTATTAAATGTAAACAGAGGAGCAAAGGGGTAATATATCAGTGATAAAAACATCTTATACCAATGTGGGAGTAATATTCAAAGGGAATTTAATATTGAATTTAATGTTATTTTTGATTGAAGTTCCCACTGTTCAATCTCTTACACAGTAATGAAATTTTAGATTCAGGTTGTAAGTCTAAATTGTGCCTAGCAAATATCATGGATTATAAGATTTCAAATTCTTCAATGTTGCACTCTTTCTATGTCAGTGACAATAACATATGTAGCCTTTCTTCATGGAATTAAAAACTGACTGGGTGTCCTTGGGCCAATCACTCTCATTCCAATTCACCCCACAGCATGGTTGTTGATGGGGAAATAGGGCAAAGAAAGAGGATTGATATGATCATTGGCTGGATTCTATTCTCAATGAAATGCAATCTTTGGAAAACCAGGCCTTTGTTTGTCACCTTAGAACCTCCAGACACTCTTTCAGGTAATAAGCTAGCTTATTAGAGACCATGATTGGAACAGGAGTGGTTATTTAAGAATCCATCTCATTTGGTTTTGTCTTCAGTCTTCCTGCTTTTGTCTTGACTTCAGTCTTTCTCTTGATTACACTGCATGAAACTCAGAAATTAAAAATGTTTAATGTTAGTTGCAATTAGTCATATACGGTAAAAAAGAGAGAGCAGGAGCTCCTACCAAGAATCTTGTAAATTCTAGAATAGAATGGGTTCAAATGAAGGCCTTTGAAAGTCTTCAATGGAAGCTTTTGTTTCATCATATATTTGTTTTCCATTCTCTCTACATGTTTTAAAAAGTAAGAAACAGCTGCATCGCTTTTTCCAGGTTTTTCATTATTAACATATTTTAGTACCCAAGTTACTGTTAATTTTAATGTACTCCTTGTGATACTCTATTTTTTTAAAAAAAAATTGTGAATAATCACTAGGGTAGCAAGTTGTGCAAGTTGTGTTAGAAATTAAATACATTAAAACACAGTAATGTTACAAAATGTTGAAATCATTAGAGGGACAAATAGTTTTCCTATTGCACTCCAGATCCTTAGTCTTCCCAGAATAGATGGGAACAGAAATATCATTTTTTTAGTCGTTGCATTTTGGGAAGTCAGGCATTTAGGGCAACTCTTAGAATTTGTGAACTTCTCTTGCACTTTTTGGGTACAGTGTCAAAATTCCGCACAAAGTTTAATATGAACTGACAGATAGTTGGCACTTGGTTTAAATTGTAAGCATCTGTTAACAATTATTTAATGGTTTTAGGTGATTTCATTGCAGCATTTTAAGTAATATATAAACATGATTTTATTTATTTTGTTAAGAAATGATCCAACAAAATGCTATTTTTTGTCATCTATCGCTGAGGAGATTATATAAATAACAAATGGTCAATGGATATTCCAATTGAACAAGAGTGTGAAGTACTGTTTGCACACATCTTGCAATGAACAAAATTAATCTGGCAAATTATCCAACCCTGTCATTAAACTCTGACCTGAAGTTGGCAACAAGCCGATTGAATTTTAGAAAGTGCCAATAGAAGATAATTACAAAATGTATCCCTGAGATACCGACACAATTACCTTATACCGACACCTTTATTTTGTACAGGCATCATTACAAAGAGCTACTTAAAACACACAATATCAGAAAACTGTATAGAGAAAATACTTGGTCCAAAGAAGAAGAAGCTGACCCATCAATCAGATCATCAGTTACAGGTTTGTTTAATATAATTGTGTTGTAGGTCACAGAATATAGTCCTAGTGTATAGTACAGTCACCTTTTTCTTCTTTTTCATGGTTCACAATAGAAAACCAATGAAATAGAATAAAGAATATATAATAGTCCTTGAAGACTAAGCCAGATAATTAGAAGGTTATAACTGCATCAATTTGAAGGCTAAATAAACATTGTAATAACCAAATTATATTTTGCACTAGAGGCAAAAATACAATGTAAGAGATCAGTCGAATAATCATAAAATCAAGATAGTGACAAATGAAAGCTAATGTTCAAGTCACACAATGTCTGTCCTAGAATGCCTTCAAAGGCAGAGAATGGGTCTTTTGACAATTTTTGACCAAATTATAAAGTATAACTTCAGGTATTCTTTAATTTTCCTTGAAAAAAAAAGCTGCTCTTAGCTTAGGTTCTAAGAATAACCTGATTTCTTCGGAATAAAAATTGAAGGTCTGAATTCATCTGGCTAAGGAAAACACTCCATCTTTCGGTTTTTGAAACATAGTGTTGTGGTTCACCGGCAGCAGGTGTGGAGAGCGAAGACTCAGATGAGGGGCCTTCGTGTGATGCAGGGATGGGTCCAGGACTGTCAGAGAGTAGAGTGCTGCCTTCAGAGCTTATGGAGGCTGGCAACAGTGATGAAGAGGACCCCAAAGAGCCTGTGCCCAGTGCGCATGCGCTCAGGGCTGTTCGAAGGAAAGAAGCTGCAGCAGCACAAGCAACTCGAGAGTAAGGCTGCAAGGTGATGGTCCCTCCCTTAAGGGATAAAAGCCAGCCCTCAAAAGTGGGATTCTTTGCAGGAAGCAAATAAGTTCTTGCACTTCAAGTCTTGTGGAAATTCGGACTATCCTGGTTTGCATTTGGAAACTTTTGGTTTTGAATGTTTCCTTGCAATTTAATCTAGTGTTTTGGCAGCCTTGCACAACTTTGGCAAGGCTTGTTCTTATCTGGGACAATTAGTTTTAATAGCATTTTAATAGCAATGAACGGAATTCACAGAGAAGCATTAAAAAGGTTTTGCTTTTATTCTGTTTGGTTATTGTTCGCTTAGAACGAGGCTTGGATCAGAACACATATTCAGTAAACCTATTCAGTAGAAGAGAATTATGCTCTTCTATATTAAATAAAAGAAAATAAAAAAGTAACAGGAGCCGAACCTAAAAATGTAGGAGAAGCCCAACTTGTTTAAAATGTCTATATGGTTTGTCTATCCTTACTTTTACCAATTCAGTAGCTTGCATTTAGATTGTCTTCTTTAAAAGCTGGAGATTGTATGTACAGGTAAAGTAATTGTTGGGTATCAGACATATTTGAAAAATATTGGTAGAATCTTTCAGCATTGATCAGATTATGCAGAGTTCTACCCAACAATGCATTTTGCTAGCTGGAAAAGTTGGAATTGGGGTGTTGTAAAACTTCCCTAGATATGATACAGTCTTCAAAGTTAATTTCTGAGCCTATTGAGAAAATATTATTTCTACATTCTTAGTTTCACTTAGCTTCAGAATATTTCATTTATTTGCAGTTTGCCTTCACAAAGAAAAAAAACCCTACCCAGGCATTTTTAAGGATTTTTATTGTTTTACATTTCTTTTTCTTTGAATTATTATTGTAGTTCTTCAATTAGTCTATTGTAGACTAATTAGGGTCATTAATTTAACATTATGTACATAGTTATTTCTTTAGGATGGATTCCTGTTTTAATTTCAACTCAGCCAAATAACATGTGTTGTTTTCTTGGTCTAAGAACTCTACCTTTTAGTAAGATCTTGTTAGGTGTTAACTCTAGTTGTTTCTTTAGTGCTGTTGGTAATATCTCCATTGTCTAACCTGGCTAACCTTCTGAAAAAGTCTTAGGGAGTGTTATAATAACTTTTGCACTATCAGTATTGATTCTGGTAACGCCAGTCAAAAGTGCACAAAAACAAAGGCTCAAGAGCTGGAGTATTATTATAGGCGCTTGACTTCAGCAAAAGCTGTTGTGAAAGTGCAAGATCGTTATTTAACAGTAGCTCTCAAAAATCGAAGGATATTATATGCTCACTTTTCTTCCTATTGAAGTTGATTCTTTTGTCAGCCTTTTTTGAAAAGCCTTTAGTGGTTCAGTTTTGGCTACATATCAATATTTGATTTTTTTTTAAAGAGATCTCTATTTTTCTCACAAGTTTTATTCTGTGACTGTCAGGAAATACATATTTTCTCCATCACTTCATTTAATGTCACCTCTCAAAGTTCTTTGTTTTGTTTACTCAGGAAAAACCTGCCATACAGACTTTAGTATATATCCTTATTTATGCCTGTGGTGCTTCCTAATCTCCCCTTGCTGGTTTTGGATTTTTCCTTCTTTTTTAAAAAAAGAGATATTAGTACATTTTCAAAATATAAACCAAACCCAACTAATACGTTTAGTCCCAATGAATTCATTGCAATTGAAATTAAAAATCCATAGCTACAGGATACCTTAGGCTAATATAACATGCAATTTCCAAGGAGCCTTTCTAATAATGTTGTTTTGTGAAAACATCCTGCATGCAATTAAGTTTATAATTCTGAAGGATTAGATTCTGGCATTTCCATATAAAAGGTTAGCCAATGAATATTGCAAAAGGGTTCTAGAGAAGCCATGATGCATTATGGCCTAAGTGGACTAGTGACCTCTTGCAAGACAAAAAACTTCAAGCAAACTTTCCAGAAAATAGGAGCTTAACTCAATATTCATTTTATATAAATCACCTTTATCTCATTCTTCAGACAAAATGGTATAGCAGATATAGCAATAAAAATGACAGTCTTATGAAATAAAAAGTTAACTAACTACTTTAATGCCCCCCATCAAATATTTTTCTAAGCTTAACAGCTTTGGGCATCCACTATAAAAAATAAGAGATGTCAATACCATAATGCCCTTATATAAATAAGTATTGAATATATATTTGGCATACTGGGTATAGCTCTAGTTGCCACACCTCAAAAATGGCTTAGTAGAGCTATAGAAAATTCAGAGAAGGGCAGCTAAGATAATGAAGGAGTAGCTTCCCTATGAGGAAAGGTTGCAACATTTGGGCAAATGAGAGGGAACATGATTAAGACATACAAAATTATGCATAGTGCAAATAAAGTAGATAAGGAAAAGCTGTTTTCCTCTTCCCAAAATAAAACCAATGAAAGTGGATCCTGGAATAATTGGGACAGACAAAAAAGAAATAATTTTGTGAAACAACATGTAGTTAAAATTTGAAATTCACTACCCAAGGTATCTGGTGCTGTCTACCAGAAACAATGGTTAGATTAGTTCATGAAAGCCATGGGGATCAATGGCTATTAGTCTTGATAGCAGTCTAATGGCCTCTGAAGGCCATCTGCTGGGGGACTAGTGGACTTTGTTGGCCACTTCGAAATCTGAATATAGACTTAGATGGACCAAGGGTCTGATCCTGAAAGTCATATATTCTTATAATAAAACAAAAAGAAGTTGGATAAGAAAAGAAGCACCAGAACTTTTCATCACTTCAGTATCTTGATAAGGAGGGGAAACAGGAAGAGGGTGAAGATACTGATTTATTGCCTCCAGAAGTGAATATCAAATGAATTTAGTATCTGTGTGAAGAAGCCAGGACTGCAAATTCTAAATTGTAAAAGAATAGCAAAACAACAAACATTTATGACAATTCCTAAAGGAAAAAACAAAGCATATGCTAACTTATTGAAAAGTACAAAGCCAGTCCTGCAGGGACTGTTTTACAATTTACTGAACTGTGTCAAGCAAAAAGTGTGAAATATATTACTACCTGCCTTTATTACACATAAGCTAGGTTTCTATTCAGTGCTGTTTGCTCTTGTCTGTCAAGTAAGAAGTAAGAAACCTTGATAGGTAAGCTGGAAAAACAAATGAATGTAGACAAGATTATATAGGATGTGATTCCATTCCCAGATTATAGTTGCATTGGTACTAAAGAAAAGGGGTTGTAGGAAAGAATGACATTTTGATATAAGAATTTTTTCATAAGAGTGATCCCATACTTGGATCATGAATCCAAATACCACCATACTGATGATATTTCACAGAAAGTGAATAATTTTTGCTTGTGAGCTATTTAATAATTAGAAACACTGATAAAGTGTTTCGTGAAAGGTGTGTAGACTGCATGGTGAGATTATCTGATAGTTAAAGTTGTGGACATTATGTATCATCCAGAGACAGGTCTGGGTATTGTTGATAAAGAAGGATAGCTTGTCATTCCTATGGGTATCAGTGACCCTGAAAAAAATGTATTCAGATAGTTTTGGAAAACTGGGAAACAGATCAGGACAGTTCTGGAAAACAAAGTTAAGAGAGGCAGGCTGGGAGAAGTCAAGGCAAGCTAGAGACACAAAAGTTCAACACTAGTGCTGGGATGAAAAGGAAATAGCTTAGTGGGCTCTTTAGTGCAGCAGTTTTCAAAAATAGACTATTTGTATCACAGTAATAACAAGCTTTCTGGTTTCAGGTTTCTGAAATATGAGAAAGTGAAAAGAAGAGCATATAAACGTTAAAAGAAACTGCCTGAGATGTAAGATATAGTGAGCAGAATAAGTTATGGTATTGAATGTAAAGAATTCATGAAGGATCAATATTCCAATGGCAGTAAAGGAAAGGGGAATTCCAGTATATCAATGGCAAGCAGAGAAGGAAGGAAGGAGGAAAGGAAGTAAGGAGGGAGGGAGGGAAGGAAGGAAGGGAGGAAGGAAGGAAGGAAAGAAAAATTGATCTGTCAAAAATAAGATAAAAGATAAATAGCTGATTTGCTGTTACAATACAAGAAGAACAGAGAAAGAAGGAGCAGGAAGAGCACAGAGCCACCTTTGCCTGTCAATTAGTTTTCCTAAAAGTAAATGATGTCAGGCCATGAATAACAGGGAGCCACTTTGAACCCTCCTCCTTGCTGCCTTGAACCATCCTCCCCTCACACACAATAAACTATGTAAAAGCAGCAGCACTGCCACATTGCTAAGGCATGGTCAAGGTACTTCTGCTCCCACAGAAGTACCTTGATCATCAACATATTTTCCTCTCAGTTGAAGGATAGAAGGAAAGCACATTAACGTAGCTGTGAGGAATAAACAGTTTTATCAGAGGAGATGGAAAATTGCATAGACGTTTGGATAGCTCAGTTCAAATATGAGAGCTATCAGGGTAATAAAGAACCATTAGGAAAGGCAGTTAGAGAGCAGTTTCAAAGAAAACACCTTTCTACTTAGTAACAGATCAGGGTCAGGAAGTTGAGGAAATATTAGAAAATGAAAGGAAGAGCATTAAAAAGAAAGAACATTAAAAGAAAGTGCCTGAGATGTAAGATATAGTGAGCAGAATAAGAGTACGGTATTGAATGTAAAGAATTCATGAAAAGAGTACCTTAAGCTTTATGTCTACTGTTTTTTTTTTAAAGGAAAACATTAGAATACAAAGTACAGTACAACTAAGATTTGGTTGCTTCTCCTAAACCTTAGCTTGGGATGAATATGTGGAAAGTTGGGTGTAGGAAAAGCAATGTACTTTAGTACCTTTTCCTAACTTTATGTCCTTGATTGTTTGTGAAATGACCTACTGATGTGCATCTAAGGCCTACTTGGAGAAGGGAGAGTGTCAATGTAATGACATGACACCTCTTCATTAGTGAATACCCTCTAATTAAATTACCTCTACTAATTAAAGTAGCTATTCTGCTACTAAGTAATTCTGTATATATGTAAAATTGTGTCCAATAAATGGGAAATGTCATTAGATTGTTCTTCATATATATTATTTGACCAGCACTGATGAAGATCCATTGAGAATGCATATTTTATGTGAGGAAAAGAGGTTTGGAGGTATAAAATTCTCATTTGAAACTTGAAATAGGAAAAATTAAGAAGGTCTTTGTAGCCATTTGGTTTTTGGAGAGTAAAAAGATTGGTGGATTGAGTTTTAATATTTGTTTATTCTTAAACAAAGACTGCATGTCAACAAAGAAAACAGACAATAAAATTAATATTTGTCACAATATACTCTCATTATTTTTGCAGTTGATCCAGAACTAAAACTTCTCTGTGGAGCTGATGTTCTGAAGACATTTCAAACACCTAACCTCTGGAAAACAGAACATATTATAGAAATAGTGGAAAGGTTTGGATTGGTCTGTGTTAGTCGTGCTGGCCATGATCCTTCCCAGTACATCACTAACTTAGAGTTTTTAAATAATTGCCAGCATAATATCCATTTAGTAAAAGAATGGGTTCTAAATGAAATCAGTGCTACGAGCATAAGGTGTGCCTTGCGCAAAGGACAAAGTGTGAAATACTTGGTTCCAGACTCTGTTATTTCTTACATTAAGCAACACAATATATATATGGAAAAGACTGAATGAAATAAATTAAAGGAAATCTGGTGTAGCCCTTTAAAGTGTTCGTGCTGTTTACTTCACTTAAAAAAAGATTTTGATAAGATTGGGTGAGTCCAGAGACAGGTAACATATCAGGAGAGATTGGACGAACGGAATATGTACAGCCTGGAAGACAGAAGGGAAAGTGGGAACATGATTGAAACCTTTAAAAAATATTAAGGTTGTTCTAGAAGTAATTTTTTTCAATACAGGTAATCTTCAACTTACGACTTAAATTGAGCCCAAAATTTTTGTTGCTAAGTGAGACAGATGCTAAATGAGTTTTTTCCCCTTTTACAACCTTTGTTACCACAATTGTTAAGTGAATCGCAGTTAGTAACATGGTTGTCAAATGAATTTGACTTCCCCATAAACTTTGCTTGTTAGAAGTTCACAAAAGTTGATCATATATCCCAGGACACAGCAACTGTCATAAATATGAGTCCGTTGCCAAGCATCTGAATTCTGATCACGTGACTGTGGGGATGCTGCAATGATCATGAGCGAACAATAGTCTTAAGTCACATTTTTCAGTGCCGTTATAACTTTGAACAGTTGTAACTAAGAACTGTTTTAAGTTGAGGACTTCCTGTACTAAAGCAAACATCAAGAATATAGGGCATAACCTCAGACTAACAGGAGAAAAGTTCAGAAGTAATGTTAGAAAGTGTTACTTCACAGAAAGAGTAATGGAAGCTTGGAATCAACCTCCAGCAGAGATAATGGGTCAATCATTAGTAACTATGTTTAAACATGCTTGGGCTAAATACATGTTTATCATCTGACAAAAATTTTAAAAATAGAATAAAAATAATAAAATAAAAAATAACAGTTAAAATATTAAAAAGAAAGCGAACCCAGACAAACAAACAAAACACTCAAAGGGCAGACTCGGTGCACTACTGGGTCTTTTTCTGCCATCGGTTTTAGCTTTCAATAATTGGTTTGCTTTCTGTGGACAGAAATGTGTATGTGTATGCCTGCGTGCGTGCATGCATGTGTGTGAGAGACCTGTTGGAGATAATCATTTGGAAGAAATACACTAAATGCAAAATTTGCATACAACAACAAATTTGCATGAACCATTCTAGAGATTGCATTTAAAACTGGATTTCCCCACTCTGCATAAACAAGATTCATGGCACATGCTGTTCATGTATTAAAATCAATAAATAAAGCTATTTTAATTTCACCTGATTTCATGATACTAAAACTTGAAAGTATTGGAGTCATGTGTACACATTGGAAACATGGTATTTTTAATGAAGCCTTGACCTAATTGAAATGTGGCAAAGTTGTTTAAGAATTTGTTAGTATAAAAAGTATTTCTGGAGAGGAAATCTGTTTCAACATTTTTAGTTAATATTTCAATGTGATTTTTTTAAATACATCTTGAATTATTTATCTAAACCTTTCATTATACCAAGTGCCATAATGTTCTTAATGCATCTATTTTAGTATTAAATTGTCAGCCACTGTCATGTTAGAGTAGAAGAAACAATTCTGCTTGTCAACACTGGATTTGTAAGGTTTACCTGATTACATTTATGCCACTGCATCATTCTAAACATTAAAGAAAAAAGCTACATAGTTTTTTGTTAATTACTTGGTATTATTTATGGGCATTTCACTCATCCTTCAAATAAATTCAAAGAAAATTAGTTCATTTTCAGAAATATAAGTATTTTAACCATGAATACAAAGGTCAGAAGACATTCATGCTTATTTTTTTAATACAATCTAACATGATGCTCCATCTTACAGGCCTTCAAGAAGCTAATCAAGCAAAATGTTGCCTGAAACTTGAATATATGCTCCAACAGTGAAAGTTGGACTCCTCAGAGCCAATCAAAAATGTTGATTTGCTGAAGGGCATATTTCCTTTCAATGGTGGAATCAGCAAACTATGGAGAAATTTGTCCTTTCTTTGATTCTGATTGGTAGAAGCACAAACATTGCCTTAAGTAAGCAGGAGCTGGCATTTCTTTTCAAGCAGCAAACACACTTTTTATTGCTTTTTTCCTGTTCTTTCTCTTTTGACTTCCTGCTTAACAATAGGAAAACCATTTACAGAAACATTTTCAACCCCCTTATTAGGAGGAGACAACATCAGTCAAAATTCTGAAAGATACTTATTTTGCTATGCTGCTGTCTTCTGATGGCAGAATATAATTCAGGCTTAAAGAAATGTTGGTCTCTATACAATTTTATAAAAAAATATTTTGTATGCTAGTTGTTTCTGATAAAACATTCCTTTCCTCCAGAAACTAATTTCAATGCACTTTCTTAAAATAGCTAGTCTGAGCTGTGTCATTCTCAAATAGCATTCTTCTTTTTTTTAGGGTAAACAAAAAAAGTAAGAAAATGAATGAATACCTGATAAAGGAAGATTGCCTTTTCCAGGCAACTTTCAGGTACCCTATAGTTACAATATAGGACTTTGGCTAGTGAGGTCTAGATTCAGATTCTACATCTTTGAAGCTAATGGGTAACTGTTATTCTGAACATGTTAGACCATTTCTTTGTACTATTCTATCTCAAGATTGTCCTACAAGCATTTCATTTAAGAAGTTGTATCAACTCAGGGTGTGGGTGTGGGTATTAAAACCTAATAATTTAAGATTTAAATAAAAGGTATCAGAAATTCAATAAACCGTTTTGATATAACTGAGCTCAGTCTTGAAGACTTTTGGAATGAATACAGGAAATTAACGACACTTGATTTATCTTGATGTACTGTAATTCATTAGAACTCAGATTATAACATTTTTCAAAGATCTCTTTATTTAGAGGCATAACAAATATTACAAATTAATTAATTCAATTAATTTAATCTTGAATTTATGTTACACTGGAAAGTATTTGTTCTATATTAGGATTGTTAAAATTTCCCTGCTGTATTTCTAAGTGATGAGAAGACTTTACAGTCTAATGTGATTCCCTTCAAGCAAGAGCATATTGTTGAATAATGCAGTACAACATGTATTTTTTCTTACTTGCTTACTTGCACAGGAGTTAATGGGTTTCTGTGAAGTACTGCTTATTCCTCAGCCTGAAAAGACTTCACATTCTCTTAGCTGAAAACGTGTTCTGATTAATAAAATGCTCACTTCTGCTAGAGATGCTGGGTGTTAGTCCAATAATACAAGATTGAATGAGTAATGCCTAGCACATTTTTCAGCCATCTATTAACTAGTTAATATCTGCCATCTTACATCACTAAAGAATTACTTCATTAAGCATGGTTTGTTGAACAAATTTTGTTATTCATAAAAGAATATACAATTCCTTTTTAGTGGTGTAACCTCTTTTTGCAATTGGAAACCAGTTTTTAAAGACCATAACATTGCATCATCCTTATTAAATAAAATGCCCTCTCCAAACAGTGGATAGAACTTACCATTATCAGTAAAAGTCAGCTTTTTTGTTTAGTCATTTGAAAGCAAAAATCTACCATTGTTAAAATCTTGATCCAGATAATCAGTGACCTTACAGCTGTCCTGCAGAAGGGGAGTGACATATTCCATTGAAATCAAACCTCCCCTTAAGCAAAAAATGTTCAGCTTTGTGGAAGAACTTAAAAATAACACCTCAATGGTAATCAGCTTAAAGGAACTAGCTTAGCTGTACTATAGATGAGCAGATAAAGGAAGCTAAGAGTTCAAAGTTACTTCTAGAAAAGGGACTGAGCTGGATGGTGCAGAATTAAAACACTAGAAAAAAGCTTTGACTTTTAACTAGAAAACAAACAGGCATATGCCTGCAGATTTCAACGGTTATTGGAAAATGCTTAGTAATGAGAATTTTGAGGAGTATTTGAAAGCTCTAGGTAAGATATTTTTCCCCTACTTTTTCCATTTATTGAAGCCTCAGGATGAATTATATGATTTCACTAGATATGCAGTTTGCATGAAAATATTCTTAGCAGCTAGTTTTTTTTATTAATATTGCTCTTCTGACTAAATAGGAACTGAAATAATTGTGAAAGAAATAACATCCATAAAGTACATAATACAAATTGCAGTATTTTGGATTTATCCAGACGTATTATCAGGATTTTATTCTAAAATTTTATTTATTCTATAAAAAGGCATAAGGTACAAAATTTAATGGCTTGGAAGGGCAGGTTTAAAACTATAAGATGATTTTCTTTCCTAATTTAAACCATAAATTTCAACACAAGAATAAGAAACCAGATCAGGGACAGAAAAATCTTAGTCAGCTAACAACCAGTTTTCATTGACTTCATCTAGAAATTGTCTGCATTTTTTTCAGGCCAGATCTGGTAATCTTATTTTAAAAAGAAGCATAAATATTAATCTATATTGAATTTTATATTTAAACAGCAGCACAGTTTTCAGTGTTTCCTCAAATTTTGGATCATTAATTTTATAAAATATTCTAGCCTGTCTCTTTTTCTTCCAGATGTAAATATTGCAGTGAGAAAAATAGCCAGTAGTCTCAAACCTGACAAAGAGATTATTCAGGATGGAAACCATATGACCATTAAAACCCTAAGCAGGTTTAAAAACTACATCATGGATTTTGAAATAGGGACAGAATTTGAAGAGGATTTAACAGGGGTGGATGGTCGCACATGTATGGCAAGTTTTAGAATGTTGCTCCTACAGGACTAAACTATGAGCTTAAAAATCCCTTCATTATTATCACTGGTTTTTTGGCAAGACTTTTCTGATAATCCTGCTTTAGTGTTCAGCAGCATTTTAACCAAAAAATTCAATCCAAAATGTATTTTCAAAACAGCTGAAATTCACCGTTATATATATAACATTCAACAGGAAGCCATATTAAATGAAGTGGACCTTACTTTCAGGTAAATGAGTACAAAGTATATTTTTTCATTAAGGTTCATTAAAATTTACAAAAGAGATCTTCAGGCACATTTTGATAATTTATATAAAGCAATACTTAAGTATCTGGTATATGACTATTCTATAAATATATTTCTGCATGGAAATCTTGAT